TTTGAACCACAGTGACACTTTACCCTACCGTTGACCATTTGTACTACCTGTTGATGATGATGATGATGACTACCTGTTGACAATACATTTCGAATAGTTGCGCTGACATTGGTTTTTAACATGTCACAGTATTATCCTCTGATACAATGCTGTATAGAACTTTTTAAACTCCGTATTTTTATGCAAATAAATTCCAATCATGCCTCTATCCAAATTGCAAGTGTGCGATTATGTAAATACGTTTTAAGAGTCATTGCATGAGAAAACCAGGCAAAATCAATGGAAGGTCGGAAGATGGGGGTCGGCCAAATCCGCTCAAATTTTGTACATAGGATAGGTATGGGGAACTATCACCAGCCATATGATTAATACCCTCCAGCTCTTTTTTGTTATGGAGTTCTGGAACCCCCCATGGAGACCCTCAATAATTGGAGAATTTTTGCCTGAAAATTCACGAAATTCGGATCGCTCTCTCCAGAGTTCTATTAAAGATATTGATATATGATTTTGATTTTTACATTTCTTAATCTATCTAGTCTAACCGGACGAAATTTGGAGCTCTGGCATTGAACTTTAAAGGGTATGCTTGGGGGTTATCAGAACCATTGAAAGCAGACTTGGAACTTTTTTGAATATTAGTCATTTTTAAAGGGCCATTTGTCACACTATCTGCATTTGTTTGGATTGGTTTTGATTTTTCTGAATAGAGGAATATCTATTCATTAAGAAACAATCGTCGTTTATTTGGGATCTAAATATTGTGAGTCGTGGGAAGAGGCTAATTATGGGGTATTTTAGCCTCTGAAAACAATAAATCAAGCAATTTCGCTAGCCTAATTCAAAAGGAATTGACTAGAATATTGTCTTTTTTAATTAGAAGTATGCAGGGGCATGATGACTCCTAAAATAAATGCAAAGGGAGTGATAAAGGCTCTGTATGGGGGTTCTGAGTATACTTCAAAGAGATTTAACTGATTTATCATGTGAATTATGCTAATTGTCCCACTTCACGTTAGTGGATTATTACTAACTTGCAGTTTGTACATAGAAAAATAGTTATGAATAATTTGGGCTCTGCATGGGGTTTAATGGGACACCTTTCACCTACTTTTTCCTTTATAAGTGTGTATTTTTTTTACATTATACATGTGTATACAATTTTTTTGGCACACACCAAAAACACAAGTAGCACACCAGAACAAGCTTTACTGCTGGATCAGAAATCTTTAGGGACATGATGACTACTGAAAAAAGTTCCTTATCTCCTACCTTCGCCAGATAATATTAACCTAATGGCTTGCTAATTATAAATGTTTGACATTCTAGCATTTTCTTATGAATTATGCAAATGAGATCCACATTTGAATAAGTTATGTTTTCTGTTATTCAACTTCAATAAACTTATAAATGCCGCAAGTATTAAAGTACCAACATAAACCACAGGCACTACCATTTTCATTAATTTTGCAAATTAAGTCTTCAATTTCATAATTGATATATGACGATGTTCCTCTTATTCTTATACACACGTCACAAGTTTGCAGTTCAAAAAAATCTGCTATAGGACCCACAGCTTCACTTTTTCAGAGGAGCCATTTACTGATACTAGCATGTACAGATCATGACATATCAAACTGAAAATCTCGCTACAGTACCTTAACAAGCTGCCAGGGGGCCCAAATCTAAGAATTTTGAGGTCTCATCATTACCCTCTTATCAAATACCAATCCTTCTCAAGTTATCGTGACACACGCACGTACAGACACAAACGAACGCCACCGAAAATATAACATTCTTGGAGAAAGCGATAAATGCAAAGAAAGTGATATAGACTCTGCATGGGGTTTTTAAAATACTTTGACTTTGCATCTGAATGGTACTAACTACCACGCCCTCCATTAGCTATTCATTAAGAAACAATCGTCGTTTATTTGGGATCTAAATATTGTGAGTCGTGGGAGGAGGCTAATTATGGGGTATTTTAGCCTCTGAAAAACAATAAATCAAGCATTTTCGCTATCCTAATTCAAAAGGTATTGACTAGAATATTGTCTTTTCGATTTAACTGATTTATTATGTGAAAGATGCTAATTGCCCCACTTCACATTAGTGGATTATTACTAACTTGCAGTTTGTGCATAGAAATATAGTTATGAATAATTTGGGCTCTGCATGGGGGTTAATGGGACACATTTCACATACTTTGCTTCCTTTATGAGTGTTTTTTTTACATTATACATGTGTATACAATTTGACACAAACAAAAACACAAGTAGCACACCAGAACAAGTTTCTGCCCAACTTGTTTCCACCTGCCTTGCACTGATAACTCTTCTAAACTCACATAGCTAGATATTTAGCTTTCTTCAACGGATATTTGTACTGGCATTTGTCATGCAATCTTTTAGATTAAAATACATGTGCTTGGGCTCTCTAATGTGTCATTAACTAGATAAATTACTGAATCACTTCCTTATATCTACTATGTTGCACATAATAAAAATGCTATGTTTGGAGGACATTGGAGTTATCAGGCCTTCAAAATGTGGTACCATGTGATACATTGTACCCTGGCTAAATGGATACAGAGCATGTAGGCATTATCTAGACACAAGACCATATCAAGGTCACGGCAAATATGCAATCATAGGATAATTGCATGTAGCTGTACTTTTGAAAACTGTTGAAATGAATAATGAT